TTTTTTGTCTATGAAAGAGTTTATACAAAAGTGGAACTACTCTTGATGCTGCGTAGGCTATTCTGCTTGGGGGCGTAAGCTTGCGTAGGCAACCGCGTAGGAAAACATAGTAGTGCCTCGCGTAGGCAGATTTGCGTGGTTGTAACTTGGAGTAAATCTAATAACCTGTAACACGGAAAGAACAATGGACCGATATTCATCCTTTAGTTGACTTGCTTGGTGGCTGGTACTTGAAGTTTGAGGAAGTAGATCTTGAGGGATATGAGTGACCTTGTTGCTGTATGCTTCTTGGGGATCACAGTGCGAACACTGTGTGAGGGATTTCGACCACAGGGGTTTGCTGAGGAAAATGTATTGCGCGCCCATCGAGATGGGCTGTGACATGGTTTTCTTTGAGTTTGTCAACTTGTTGAACAAACCGGTACAGTCAGCTTTCTGAGCCTAATTTCCATGGTCATTCACATATGTGCATGTGTGTACAGTACCGGTACAACTGTAGAAACGTGTGACAAGATGCAGGCGTATGCTTTGCGTATGCCTTGCGTAGATGCTCGCGTAGGCTGCGGCTTGGTTTGGAAGGGGTTGGCCCACTTCTGTTTTTCATGCTTGTAACCTATAATGTGAGCCGTTTAAGCAAGCATGTAGTCGTAATTTTTCGTGTCTGTCTCTGTGAGCCGCGCCGTGAAAACATGGGACGACTTCACGCCCAAGTACCGCAAAGAACTCGCTCTGTCGCTTGCAGACACCATCATGGAGAAAACCGTTTCCCTTGATGAGGCTGCTTCTTTCCTCCAGCTTGTTGGGCAGGTCATTCAAAAGAAGACGGGGCAGACACTACGCAACCTTGTGTTTAACCAGGTCGAATTCACCACCAGTCAGGCTGAGACCCTACTTCGCTCTCTAGGTCTGCTCCGGGAGAAGTACGCTACCCACAATAGCCAACTACATCTCCCCAAGGTCAGCGTTCAAGAAATGGATTGCGCCACAGTGAGCTCCTGCATAGCTTTGAAGACCTTGAATAGCTTTGGGTACAACATAGGGAGAAAGGAGTACAAGCACGCAACCTCAACTGAACCAAACTCTGCTGCTCGGGAAAGCCGTGTAGGCCGAACAACATTTCCTTGGTGAACATCCCTCAACCTCCTGGGCCAGAGCCTGGCGATGTCAATGAACTCGTACGACGACATATGGCCCAGAAGCACATTCAGCCTCATCAGCCTGTTGCCCCTGCTGGGGACTTTGCTGAAAAAAGCCGAGGACAGACTGACCAAGGCTGCTTCTAAGAAGCGCCGACAGGCACAGGCTTTGCTGTCTTCATCTTCAAGCTCGTCTTCTTCTGCATCCTCATCTTCTTCATCTGCATCTGCTCCGTGAAGGCAGCGTGCAAAAAAGGCCTCGCGTAGTCGACCGCGTAGGTACCTCAACAAAACCCTCGATCTGGAACATGCTCGCGTAGGCTACCTCACATACTTTTGATATGTCGCGTAGGCGCTCGCGTATACATGCCGCGGAGTGTATACTTCCAAGCACCCAAAAAAACCACCACTCACTTGTTACTAGTAGCGTGGCACTTGTTCCTAGTAGCTTCTTGTTACTACTAGTAAGGCACCTGTTACTACTAGCGTGGCACTTGTTCCTAATAGCTTCTTTGTTACTACTAGTAAGGCACTTGTTACTCCTTCCCTTCACATTGATTCACTGTGGCAATCGCGCAGGAGCCACATGACTATGGAATGGCACCCAGCCTTCAAGACGTTTGGCTGGCAAGTGGGAGAGCTTGCTCTTAGCTTCCTTGCTCCGTTCGTAGCGATGCCCTTTATTCCCAGCTTCTTGTTACTAGTAAGGCCAGGAGCTACTAGTAGCATCCTTGCTCCTGGTACCGATGCCCTTCCATCCTTCCTTGTTAAGCTTTCCTAAAAAATCTAGGAATCACAGCGGGGGGAGCTTCCTTGAAGAAGCACGAGCTATCCTGCGTCCAGTGGGTAGTAGCGGCAGGGCCTACACGGGCTAAAAGTAAAAAAGAAAACAGATAGAAACAACAGCTTCTCTTTTTGAAACATTTGGGAGGAAACGCTCTTCGGCTCAAGGCAGTTAGATGAGGGAAGCAGCAACACCGCGTGAAAGAGAGGCACTCCCACAAATGCTTCCGAGGTAGTGAAGTCGAGGAAAAGCAATAACAGGAAAACAAAGGCCTAAAGCTGTCACTAAGAGGCAAGTCACTAAGACTTGTGGCAAGTGACTAAGTCCAAGACTTGTTGCCAAAACGGCGTCGCTTCGGCTCTGCGTCATGCCATGTCGCTGAATGGCGGTCAAATATCGAGGCCCGGGTCACAGAAATGTGGAATCGGTTGCAAGAGGATACGAAGTGTTCATACAATGAAAACACTAATGGTAGCTCCTGGCCTTACTACTAGTAACGAGAAGGCCACTAGGAGGGGCATTGCTACGAACGGAGCAAGGACGAAGGGACCAGGAAGCGGGGTCACGGGATGTTTCGGGTGGGATTGCACCCGAGGCTTTGCTTCCTTCACATCCCCTGTGAAGGGTGCCTCCTGGTCCCTTTGCCCTTTGCTCCTAGTAGCTTCTTTGTTCCTAGTAGCAAGGCCAGGAGCCCCTAGTAGCGTCCTTGCTCCTAGTAGCGATGCCCTTCCACTTCTCATTGGCGCAACATACGAGATGTATATCCCCCGCGACGGTATGACGCATTCAGGACAGGTATTGGTGCCGTTCTCAAAGCGGAGAGAGCGAGAGGCAGAAGAAGCCATCAGGCAAGATTGCGTTTGGTAGGAAGAAAGAAGGACAGAAGATCCAAGATCCAACGTATGAATGGAACAGAACAACTAAAAAGACGATGCGGAAGCCTCTTTAAAACATATAGACTAGTGATTCTTATGTCAACGCAAAGGCTTGACTGAGCTGGCTTCCAAGCAAAGGAACTGTCTTTTTGTGAGGCAAAGTGATGTTTGGGCAGAGGATATGCCAATGGAGCTTATCGACAGCATGAAGGCAGAAGTCAAGCATTACTTCTTTGCGGAAGAAATGGATGAAGCTGGATGAAGGACAGAAGCTTTTTGGAAGCTTGAACATGTGCAGGTCTGCTTTCAGCTGAAGCACAACGGCTTGAGGCTGAAGGCACTTTTGGGGCAATGTGTGCATTTTCAGCTTTATGTTTTAGACATTTGCACATCTTCCACAAGTCAAAAGCATTCAATCACTTGGATTGGTTTGAATTTGGAGGGCCTTTGGCTCAAGTGGCTGACCCAAGGGGGTGCCCTTCCCCTCTCGTGAGCAGCTCAAAGCTGCGCCTCATCAGATATCGAGACATTTGTACGAAACAATCAATGCGAAGGCCAAATGCGAAGGCCATGGGCCTTCTTGTCCAACTTGTCCTGATTTTCGCTGCGTTGGCACCAGCTGCAGCTTTGGCACCGAAGGTGAAGGATGGCAGTTCGAGAAGTCAAACTGTCTCAGTTGATGCCATGAAAGCAGGCAGAAAATATATGCTCACTTCCTTCCCACAGCTAAAGCAAGTAGCCTACACAGTGCTTCCAGACAATGTTTGGCGCCCACTAGTATTAGGAGACGTTGCAAGCCCAACTGCAATCGCAGTTGATCCTTTGTGGTCTAGACTCTTTGTAGCAGATCCGCCCAAGAATATCATTTGGTGGTATCAACTCGGGGCAACAAACAAAGGTTTGCTACAGACGGTGGGGCGACAACGTGCTGCAGTTGAAGGCTTTAGCGCCCATTGGCTGGCAGTGAATGGTGCAGGCGATTTGTACTTCAGTGGTCATCCGGCACCAAAGGCTGGAAGCAACGGCACAGTCGATGCGATTTGGAGGCTTGACAATGAGCAGATTGTGAATGGAGATACATTCAATCCAACAGAGATCTACACCAGAGCCAATACAGGACAACCAGATCCCAAAGTGTGGGAACTTTCAGGAATTGCTGTCGACTCCTTCTTTATATTTTGGGGAAACCAGGCAGGTGGAACAAAGCATGGTTCCGTCAGCAAGGGGACTCGTGCCAACATTGGATTGCAATCTCAAGACACTTGTCAGACAGCAATCTTTATGCTCTGTGTGTCTTTAAAGGTCTCTTTTTCTGCCTGTGAACTCTTCTTTGCGCATTTCTCGAAAGTCAGGATATGTTTGTGACGACCTTGGACGATGCACTAGAAGAGGTCCGTGGTTTGACAACATCCGGCACGGAAGTGTTTTGGCTTTCACGCGAAGGAGTCTACGGACAGAGTAAGACAACGTCTTCAAAAGTCTCAGATCCACAGGTTGGTTTGATCTCCCCTCCACATTCTTTGGACTCTGGGTCCGACTTAAAGGACTTTTTGCAATTTTATCTATATACTTGCCCCGATTCGTCCAGAAAAGTTGCTTTCACTAATTAGTCAGTTGGAGGCCATCGCTAGTAGGGTGGAGGCCATCGCTCTGAGGGTGGAGTGGAGGCCATTGCTATGAGTGTTCATTTCTTCACAAGTCACTTGATGTGCTAAGGATTGGAATCCAATGAGCATAGCGTGGGATGGAAGTAGCCAATTGTATTTCACCGATGCTGCTGACGGTGCTGTGTACACTACCCCATCACTCTTGTCGATGCAGCAGGAAATGTCCAAGTTTGCTGATGCGCCGTACTGCCACGGCATTGCCATTCTGCTGGGCACACAAGGTTCCAACTGAGACGATGCGAAGATCGTGATGAAAATGTGGGCACCTTTCGCTTCCCAATCACATCCTTTCACATCCACCTGGTTGCAACACACAGTATTAGACAGAGTGAGATCCAGACACAGAAAAACTGCAAAGGGGCTAGTAAAGACGAATGCTTGGAAATGAAGCGTGCAAAGCCGCTCAGGAGATGCCGAAAGTGGTCAGAGAGCATCGACCCTTTGTAGAGGTGGGCAATGATCGAGCTTTTTCTTTCGGCATTTGCAAATCCTGTCGGATGTTTGGTGTTTGATTTGTTTTTTTCTTTTTTTAATATATTAGGATGCAATGCTTTTAATCTTCCCACACTTTGGGATGCCATGCCCCCCACAAATTCTGAACTTCGATCTACACACTTAGTCAGTTAAGTGTTTTTGGTATTCCTTAAAGTCTAGGAACCAAATGAGTAGTGCGAGCGCTTCTTCAAGGAAGCTCCTCCCCCGCCGCCTCTAGGGCGGCTGGGGGAGCTTCCTTGAAGAAGCGTGAGCTATCCTGAGTCCAGTTACTAGTAGTAGCCAACTAGTCGCCCTTACTTAATTAAGGAGGCGTTTACTTAATTAAGTAGAGGGGGGCAGAGCGGGCTACTCAAGCCCTTCTGCGTCTAGATGCTAGTAGATACGACACTGCTATTACGAAGAGACAATGGATTAGAAAAAGCAGGTAGGGGCTTTGTTAAAGGGGCCCTTACCTTACCTTCTTTTTTTCACCGTTTTTCTCTTTATAATACTAGAATCTCTATTACTTGCCTTACTACTGGACCTACCTACCTACCTACCTACCTACTTACCTACCTACCTACCTACCTACACACCTGCCAAGACCTACCAAGACCTACCAAGACCTATATACCAAGACCTACCAAGACCTACCAAGACCTACCAAGACCTACCCTCCTACCCCCACTGCACGCTTCGAATCATCGCCTTGCGGCCTAACAGAACAAGGGACCACAGGTACAAGGGCCCCATTCTTTATGTGGACTTGGTCATGGTCCTTACAACGATATCTTCCTTGCAATGACATGTTTCTTTCTTCAAACATGTCCTCCTTCATGAATGTGTTCTTCCTTTTGTGAGGTCCTCACCTTCTATGAGTTAGAGTCTTTTCATACCAAAGCTAGCTGTATTCTTGATTTCCCAAAAATTATGTTGCATTCCTTGTTCAAGTCTTGTCCTTCCCCTCTTGCCACCTTTGGTGCGCCCTCACACTTGGCACTGGCAAGTTGTAATGGTTGTCCCACAATAGTCAAATACTAGCGATGGCCTCTACCCTGATAGCAATGGCCTCCACCCTAGTAGCGATGGCCTTCACCCTAGTAACGATGGCTCCACCCTAATAGCGATGGCCTCCAACCTGAGAGCGATGGCCTCCACCCCAATAGCAATGGCCTTCACTCATGAAGCATGCATCACTATTTTTTGTTGGTTGTATTCCGTTCTTTGTGCCGCACATGTATCGCAACCTTTTGAAGGAGGAGTGACACAATCCAATGGTTTCTTCGTTTGTTGTTGCCACCCTTGTCACCGGCAACCACATGCCCTGACTTGAAGCTTGTGTTCGAAGAAGTTGCAAAGCGTTTGGGACCTGTGGGTAAAGCTGCTATCATCGAGTATGCCAAAGAGTCGGGGCTTACTGAAAAACATGAAGCGTGGCCCCTCATTGAAGCATGTTTTGCCGTTCCAGCACCAAAGCGTCGTAAGCGGGAGTGACTCTCTCAGGTGAGTCACACTGCCCAAGGAGTGAACATTGGCTTCCACAATTCTGCGTGTCTGACATGTCGTTCTGGCATGTTGGATGGTGGCAAGTGGCTGGATGTGCTTTCGTTTTTTGAAGAGCATGGCCTTGAAATTCTTTTGCTTGCTGAAACTGGGGTGAGTGCGAGCACTCATGTGTCAGCCTTGCAAGGCCTCACTTTTGATCTGGCTTGTGCTCCACATTCGCTCCCCGGATATGGAGTGGGTGCAATTTTCTGTCGTAAACTTGCAAACAAGTGGTTCCGGGCCGATGAGCTTGTGGATTGCCACAATTTTCGTGCGTGGGCTGTTTCTTGGCATGCTTCACTGTTCCTTTTAGGGGCTGCCTACTCCCCTCATGTTGGGTATGCAGCTGATTTTCGCGAGTCGTACTTCAGGAAGATTGGATCTGAACGGATGAGGCTCCGTCGAAAATTTCCGAATGCCTTATGTTTGTTGATGGGGGACATGAATCTTCCTTCCATGGTTCCTGCTGGATCTTCAGCATGCTTTGAAGCTGGGGCCAGGGCGCCCTTGAATGATTTCTTTCGCAACCAGGTCATGAGCAATTTGGTGGTTGCGAATTGCTTGTTTGGCCCAGCATCTCCGACGCATGTGAAAGGGAACGTTCTGGATTTGGCGTTGATTTCGGAAGTGTCAAGTGTGCTCTCGTTTGAAGTCAAGCGCCTTCGCCTGGCTGGGAGTGATCATTTTCCAATTATCTTGCATTTGGGTTGGGTGGGTCAGGACAGTCCTTTGCGCTGGGTCAATTTTCGTGACATTGATGTGCAATCCTTAGTGTGCCAATTGGAAGTGGGCATGTTGCGGCTACACCCATGGCTTGAGCAGAGTATTCCGTGCTCCAACTGCACTGTCTCGTGTCTTCGTGATATTTTGTTGCAAGCCTCATGCGCTTTTGGCATCATTGTTCTTGGCACATTGTTTCAAGTGAATTCACCGTTTGGTCGTTTTTGCTCCTTGCAAGCTTCGCGTCGCCGCTCGCGTTTTCCGGCCCACATTCGTGAAGCTGTCCGCCGGATGAGAGACAATCGGGGTACCTGTGAGTACCGGGCGTGTCGGCGTGTGGTCCATAAGCAATTGTTAAAACAATGCCGAAAAGAGGTGCTGAGTAGTGTGACTAGGTGGGGAGCGAACCTGGATCGCAAACCGACAATTGGCAACAGAATGTTTCGTCAAGTGCAAAAGGAAATTTTCCCGCTGTCTGGCACTTCCCAGATTGTTTGTGTGGAAGGCGAGGTTTTGGACCAAATGACTGCGGCATTAGTGTGGACTGCGTTTCTTGAATCTCAGACTTCTTGGAGCGGACAGGTTGAGCCGTCGGAATGGTTGAGAATGCTTGATGGAAGAGAACAATTTCATGAGCCAGTGTCCGACCAGGGCATTGACTCGGAATGGGGCGAAGCCAAGAGGTGGCTTTGCGCTGCTCACAACGCCTGCATGCCATGTGTGTCAAACCAGTTTTCTCGGAGTGAATTTTGTGACGCCTGTCACGCTCTCAATCCAAATGCCGCTCCCCTTCTGAGCTTATCCCTGTCAAGCTTTTGAGTGCGCCAAATTTGCCATTGGGCGCATGTTTGCATGCCTTGATGAACTTGTGCATGGTCGCGTCCTGGATCCCGCCCTGCTGGGCTACTTTGATTGGCGCCCCTTTGTTGAAGCCTGGAAAAGACAGATGCGCAATCGAATCACACCGACCGGTATCACCCTCATTTAGTGCCATGGCAGCTGGGTGGGTGTAATGGAGCCGATACAGCTTTTGCGTGTATGGCTGAGTTGATACAGTTGCGCGCCAATGGTGTGTTACCCCGAGACATGATGTTCACTTTTCATGGATGGTCAGTCGGCGTTCTGCCGGCCACCAATGCAAGCGATAGTCTCTTGCCTGCGACAGTTGCCCGGCATCCGGGCGAGTGATAATATTTTCACTTCGATGTTGCTATCAAGTTTGCGCTCCAGGGCTGCGTTCTTTGGTTGTCTGCATGGAAAGTGGATCAACCACACTGGTCTTCCGCAAGGGGGTGCTTTGTCCACCGGACTGTTTGGCTTAGTCACTTTGGCGTTATACAACAAGCTCATTGATCTAGAAACTGGTGTCTCCATTGGCGAAGGCATCTTCCCAGCTCAGGCCTATATGTGGACGACGTAGCATTACTGTCATCCTCGCGCGAGGAGGCACAGAGAGCGCTGAATGCGGCGTCCTCGTGGGCTGACAGCATACTGCGTGAGCCGATGGTGTCATTGAGAGTTCATGGTCAACCCTTGCCTGAAGTTGATTCCTATCGGTACTTGGGCGGCGTTCTCCATTGGGCAGGTTCTCATGGGCCTCTGCTCGGTGATTTGCAGTCCCGGCTCCGCTCCAAGACTGGCCAGTTCCTTCACTGGGCTCGGGCCAAGCAGGTGCCAATCTCCTTGCTCTGTCAGTTGTGGGCCGTATATGTCGAACCCATAGCAAAGTTTCTACTGCCAACAATCGCATTGAGCAGGAGTGAGCTACAAAAGGTGGACCTTATACAGCGCAAACTGGCTCGGATGATTTTGGGACTTGCGAAAAGATCTCCAATTCCCTCAGTGCTCTTGACAGGGTGGGTGTCTTGGTCAGCCACTTTGCCGGTGTGGAGGTTGAGCTTACTGTTTCGAATCATGTCTGGCAGCCCATGTCTTCTTACTTTCTTGTATGAGCATGCGGGATGTGTTCCTGGCACTTGGTCGAACCAGGCTCATTTGGACCTTTTGTGCATGACTGGACGGGCTGAGTTGCCGCCGCAGGACAAGCGTCAGCGGCGAGAAATCACCCTTGCGTGTATCATTGTCCAGTTGAGGCAGTGGCTCTGGCCATACAGAAAGGTCAGTGCCCGGCAGTGATTTTTGAGCACGCAAAAGTCTCAGTTCAAGTCTCCGCGCTGCTGATTCGATTGTGGTCAGGTGGACAGGGGCTCAAAGAGGGGGACCTACCTACTTTGCCAAAACATCTGTGCCAATGTTGTGGTCAGCTTGGGCACGTCAGTCCGGATGATTTGAAACACTTTTTGCATGAGTGCCCTCTCACGCAGAGCGCAATTTCTGCTAATGATGGAGCCTTCAAGTGGATGCTGGATCGGCCATGGGATCTGGCGGCGGTGGAGTCATCCCAAAGACTGCGGGTGCACCGAACCGTGCTGCAAATGTGGCAAGCGCGCAAGAAATGGCTACGGTCCTGTGCTCAGAACAGATAGCTTCGCTCTTGGGTTTTCCTTGGCTGTCCTAGGAAATTGCTTGAAGCGGTTCTCCAGGGAAGTCGCAAGTCGCTCGCCGAGCGCGAATCGCCGTGGGCCACGAGAAGAAAAAGATCTGCAAGTCAAACACTGTTCCTTATGTTCAGCCTATGTTCCGTCTCACTTAATAGTATTTAAGACAAAACGCGTATACACCCTTTTCCTCTAGCACTAGACCTTCCATGTATTCGGCTTGCTCTGCCTCCAAGGTCAATCTTCAAAAAATATGAAGTTCTATCCTATCCCCCATTTTCAGGAGACAATCGCCGTTTCCTTGCTCCGCTGATGCACTTCCTGACCTTTCTTTGTGTTCATGTTCCCTTTGCCTGGCATCATCGGGTGTCATTCCCCTTGCTTTGTTATTTTCAGTGACTATGTCAACATCGCAATCTATCCACACAAGATGTGAGTTCCCTTTTCTGTTTCATTTGCACCAAATTCTCCTGAAAACATGTTTGCAAAGGCTGGATGTCCCCTTGTCCTATGTCATTATATTCCTTCATCAATGTTGCATTGGTTGGAAGTTATTGTTTGTTGAACTCTCTTCTTCACTTTATAATTTGGGTTTGCCATAACTTTCTGTCAGGTGCCCTGTGCCGCTGCAATGACATCAGGTGTAGAAAAACTGCAGTACATTTGTTCATTACCCAACCTCTTCTTAACATGTGTTGTTTGCCATTAAAATAGTTGTTTTATTGATAAGTACGAGTTCTTGTGTGGTTCTACAAGGGACGAACCTATTGGTATATGGTTTCTTCTGCACTGCTATTCTTTTGCGAAAGACTCTTCCACATTTTTGCATATTTTTTGATGGATCTTTGTTTGGCAGCTTTGAGAGTGGTATATACTTATTTTTACATTATATCCGTGCACGAGGAGGTCAAAAAGAAGTGCGAATCCTCATTTATCCTGCAAATTAGCTTGAGCTATTTGGCAACCATGGGAAATGTGGGTTCCGGAAGAATAGCATATATAATGTGTATATATATATATACACATGATTTTGAATTATGAAGGTGTGAGCTGCGAAAGGGTAAATGTTTGCCCTCCGATTTTGTTCCAGGTGGCCTTGGAGGAGAATGGCCTGGCCATTGCATTTGCCAGTGAAGACTTGCAGGAGGGGGGTGCTGAACAAACTGTTCTTCTTTGCTTCTCTCACGTAGAATGAAAAAGGACACATATCATCCCTTGTTTTTATTCTCCTTTGTCAACGCCTTCAAACTAGTTGCGAAACATTGCCAACCAGCACGGCTTCATAAAACGGCTGAGAGACATGCAAAAAGACATTACATGTGTGCAATTGCTAGAACGTTGTTATCACTGGTTGATGCTGTCCTGGCACAACACGCGTTTGTTTTGTTGGCTTTAGAACACTTCTTCTTCCTACAGGCATGCTTGTAAAGAGCCTTGCTTGTTTTTTCTCTTCTGTCTGGGCGAAAAACACTGTGAGGCGGATCGTGAACTCATGGAGACGGCCTTGCGCAGAACGGGGGAAGCACTGGAGCTGCTGGAGGCCTTCCAGGCAGATGAGGACCATGCTCAGCGGGAGGAAAAAGCAAACAGCATCATGGGTTTTGTTCCTTCTTTGTTGTTTTTTCGTTTATATATTTGTTCTGTGTGTTAGGAATGTTCTTTTTGTTTGGTTTTTCTTTTGGAACGCATTCTTGTTTCTATTGGTGGGGGAGTAGTGATGTTTGTTAGAGTTGAACGGTTGTTAGAGGCGGTTTGCTGAAACATTCTCCCTAGTAATAGCGATGCCAGGAGCCCCTAGTAGCATCCTTGCTCCTAGTAGTATGGCCAGGAGCCCCTAGTAGTCACTTGAGTTGAGTGCCGTTCGAATTTCAGAATCTTCACAGAACTCTCCTCCCCACCCCACAGGCCCACTCAACCTTGGAGCAGGTCGAATGTGAGGGTTGGACCGGAAGAGTAGCCAACTTTCACGAGGCACTTGGAATTCAGAAGGTAAGGAGAGGAGCATTTTTCCCACAAACAGAGGAGATGGTCCCACAGACAGAAAGTCAAATAAAGAGGAACGGGAAGAAAACAATGCATAGCATGAATATCCCGCCGGGGCAGGAAGTGAACCTGTAGTCGTCTTGATTTTTGCAGACATCCTATCAGCGGAGGCAAAAACCCTGTGCTTTAGTTTTTTTAGGACAAAGATTCTGCGAACGTCGTCATTACGGTGTTTCAGAAGAATCGTCGTTTTCTAGAAGCAAATGTCTTGAACACCTGCAACAGAATGTCAGGTGCACTTCTGTTTCACGGTTTCGTCACGATGCTGTTTTTTAGAAGTGACATGTCTTGCAGAAGTTCTTGAAGTGTTTGCCGCCTCTTTGGCGGTTTCACCCTGTCTTTTCTCTTCTCTTCTGACGCGCAGTTTTCTTGCGCATGCGGATCACACGTGTACAATACTACGAGAGAAGCAACGAAACTGCAGACATCCAACAATTGTGAACCTTTGTGAAAAGCGTCCCCAAGACACTACTAGGAGCGATCGGACGCTACTAGGGGCTCCTGGCATCGCTACTAGGAGCAAGGACGCTACTAGTTGTCTATCATCATTGTCACAATTGCAGCAATGCCGACGAATGCCAACGCCCCCAAGAATATCAATACCTGCATGCTGCATACCCCTACAATGTCTATATATACCAATGCAAGATGGTGCGCGCGGAGGCACTAAGATCCTGAAGTTGAACAAAGTAAGAACGTGTGGCTATTTACAGTGTTGTCTCCTTTTCCACGAATTCCAAGACGCCACTATAAGATATGCTGATCATGTTGCTCAAAAACATGTATGTGTGTGTGTTTACACGTTCGGTTTTCGCTTGCAGGGATGAATGAAAAAGAAATATAGATAACGGAAAAGAGGAGTAAGCACAGAAAGAACTGTCTCAAGTTCTAAAAAACGAAATAGAAAAAATAATCAAACAAAAAACAATCACACAAAAAGGATGGCACGTATGCAGAAAGTGGACACATGCCCTTCTTGTCAGACGAAACCAAGACATCAGACCAGGCGAGATCCTTCTGAAGGTCTTTAAGTCTTTGGGGCAATATGGGCAGCGCTTTTGTTCGAAGCCTTTGTTTCTTTGTTTTTGAAATACCTAAGTTCCAAGCCCTGACAAAGTACTCCTATTTCTTTTGAAGCAAGAAATCCCAAGGTGTTTGAACGAGAGATGTTCTTGCCCTGTTGAAGTGCGTCTTCTTGGGAACAGAGAAAGCTGAAAGCAAGGGAGGCCATAGCGAGGTAGAATCTCCAACAGGCAGAAAATCTTTGACAACGCATTTATGAAAGCATTCAACAAGGAAGTAGACACAAAATACATCAAAAAACTGACTCTATACATGATTGTACATCTTTTCAGAATGGTGTTGACGAAGTCTTCAAAAAGGCACGGCTTAGACTAGATTTTGTTAAATCCGAGCTTAGACTAATTAGATTTTGTAGGAACAAGAAGCTACCAGGGGCTCCTGGCCTTACTACCAGGAGCAAGGACGCTAGATTTTGTAATGCTTTCTTTTCGAGGAGATCGTTTTGTGGGCAGTGCAAACCTCCGGAACCTGCTTGCGCTTCGCAGCAGAAGAGCTGCGGAGGGATCCCGATCTTTGCCTCGAGGCCCGGGTTCGGCTCATTTCCGTTTGCGGACATGTTGTTTGTTTTACTCTTTGCTTAGTAGCAAGAAGCTACTAGTAGTAGCAAGAAGCTAGTATCTCCTGGCTTAACCGTTTGGGCAAATGAAAAGAGCCTTTTAAGACTTGTGAGGATCGAGACTTAGGTGCTGTCAGAGTCAGAGCCAGACCCTGTCATAGGTGGACCCTGGTGCATTTTTGAGTTTGAGCAGTTTCAATGAGAGCTGTCAAAGTTAGAGAAGGGCAGTCGAGAGCCTTGTTGCAGCCAAAAGTTGGGCCAAAAGGACACAACGGGGACTTCAGGCGTTCAATCAAATCTTGTCTTGTCGTCTTCTCAAAGCTGCAAGAGAGATGGCCTCCAACCTAAAAGTGATGGTCTCCAAAACCTACTAGCAATGACCTCCTTCTCTGGAGGAAAAATGATGACATCATGTGATATGCCACATGCTGAGAACGCGCGTGTTGAGCTCGTCGAGCTTGCCTCAGGCAGTGCGACAGAATTGGGAAGCAATTGAGTGCCTTTTCCAAAGAGTAATGTGATGTGTTTTCCTGTGTGAGTGAGTAAGGAAATGAGTAGAGGTTGTCTGATCTGAGTGAGAAGCTCTAGGAGCTGTAAGAACAAAAGTAACATCGCCAACAATACTTGTTCATGGTCTTTCTTGCCAGTTAAGCTTCGATATGCTTCGATGCCAAATGGTGAAGCGATATTTCCTTAACAGGTATTGCCACCCTACGCTGTACTCGGACTGGGACTTCATGAAGCAGGTGGCGCTCTGGTGAACAGCAATGTGCCAATGGTGTGGTCGCGGGCGGATGCCATTTTATGTATACACCGTGTATATACCGTGTTACTAGTAGTATGGCCAGGAGCCCCTAGTAGCGTCCTTGCTCCTAGTAGTAAGGCCAGGAGCCCCTAGTAGCTTCTTGTTACTAGTTAAGTATCCCTAAAAGCCTAGGAACCAAATTATTAGAAGCGTGAGCTATCTTGCGCCCTAGCTGGGAGCGAGCGTCTCCCTTACTTTATTGAGTAGGCGCCTACGTAATTAAGCAAGGAGGCAGAGCCACGGGCTGAAAAATCAGTGAAATAAACGGCAAGACATACTTTTTCACACTCATGCAACTTGCAAGTTGGCAAAAATGTGACAGGCCATTGGCTCCAGCTGGCGCTGCTTGTCATTTGCGCATCCAGATCTTTGCAACGACAAGGAGGTGGTGCGAATAGCACTGAGGCACCTGAAGAGCGAAAGAGCACTGAGGCTCATCGTTAAACGAAGAAAGCGCACATGATGTTGACTTGGTTTCGTGATTTGAATCGAACAAAACGGGACTTGTGCCGAGGCAACACTGGCTAGCGATGGCCCAAGCCTCGGCTGCCGTCCGGAAGCAGCGGGATTTGGTGGAGGAAGCTTTACGGTGCGGTTCGTGGCAGGCCACCTCGCTAGCAGTTCGTGTCGAACTCCGGCTTAAAAAACGGTTCTATCTTTTGTTGGGTGTTTGCTTGTTGGTTTCGTATGTTTTGCACCTGTTTGATTCCCCTCTAGGGAAGATCAAGAGCTTCCCGGATCACCATGTCCAAAACACGGACAAAGCGGCTAGGGGCTACTAGTGACAAGAAGCTACTAGGAGCAAGGGCATCGCTACTAGTAACAAAGGGCATTAGTACTAGTAGCATTCTTGCTACTAGTAACACAGACGCTGCTGAACACGCTGCTGAACACGTGTTACATTGTTGAACATGCTTTTCTGCATTTGCTGCCAGGGATTCCTGAGCTTTTCGGCGTTACTAGTAGTAAGGCCAGGAGCTACTAGTAGCGTCCTTGCTCCTAGTAGCGATGCCCGTTGTTACTAGTAGCTTTTATAGATACTCTATAAAGCATATAGAGATGGAGATAGGCTTGCTTTTCGTGGGACATTTGGGAAGACGTGTGGGTGATCTAATCCCAAGAGCGGTGTTGCAGAAGGTGTGCTGCACAGAAGCTTGACTTTCATACGTGTCATACCGGACAGGGAATGAATTATGCCGTGCGGGTCATCAACAGTAGCAACAGCCTGTCTGTGCCTTGAGCAAACATGTCAAATTCACAGCTGGAGGTTGTCTTGGATTGCCGTTGCAGATCTTTTTTTTCCCAAATCCTGGCCTAAAAGACCATCCAGTGCCATAAGAGCAGCTCAAGCTGCCGGAACTGAGGGCCGAACCGGCCCGCCAAAAGCATAGGGATGTCTCCCATGCTTGAGTGCCAGCTGGCACCATCGTTTATCTAAAATCTGAAGACGACACTCTTCAGTTTCGTCGTGCGGAGAAAGGGATCCAGATAAATACGCATCCCTACATTGCCGGGAGCCATGCCGCAAGTGCTGAACAACGCGGCCACGAAAATGAAAATCACACCCGCAAACAGGACACAACGACCCATGAACATAAAACCAGATGGGGCTCCGCTTACAATGCTTCTTCCGCATGTGCGCAGCCAGGCCGGCCGGGCTAGCGCACACAAAATTGCACTCGGCGCATGCAATGCCAAACTGTGGTCGTTTAACCAACCGATCCAAACAAACAAAAGGACAGCAATTAGGGGACCACACATTCAAGACCTCCTGAAACCACAGGGGCCATCTCGCAACAAACCGGCCCCACTCCTCCCATTCAACGTCAGGAGAAGGTAAGCTGGAAGTCTTGCCAGAACTCAAATGAAACCACAGCAAATCCTTGACCACAGCATTGGCCCAGCAGCGTGCATGGGGCACAACATCCAGGGTACCACCACACTTCTGCCAAAAACGTAAACGACGTTTAGCTACGATGGCTAGGATGTGACATGTCCCAGCTCTAGCCGTTGCAGATCCTAAACTCAAACCAGCAGGAACCAACTATAGTCTGAAATGAACAAGGACGCTACTAGGAGCAAAGGGCATCGCTACTATGAGCAAGGACGCTACTTGGGGCTCCTGGCCCTACTACTAGAAACTAAGAAGCTACTAGTAGCAATCCACGCTACTAGGAACAATTTTCATGAATCGAGCTATGCAGGTGCTCCTCCATGCGGATGCAACCTTGCAAGACGAACCTTGGAAGTGAAGAACTTTTCGGCGCGCAAAGACAAAATGCCAACACCTTGGTGGGTCTACATGCGTGGCATTGTGTGCCTTCATGTTTACTTGTTTGTGGTCTTTAACAAGAGAAACAAAGAAAGGAAGGAACAAGAGGTCCAAAGGGTCAAAGAAAGAAAGGATAATGACGGAAAGATGCAAGAAGGAAAAAAACAGTAGAAGAGAAAAGTGAAATTACTAGTAGCAAGAAGCTACTAGTAACAAAGGGCATCGCTACTACGAGCAAGGACGTTACTAGGGGAGCTCCTGGCCTTACTACTAGTAACAAGACACATGGCGCGTTTCTCCAAATGAATCATGTGAGGGGTTCTGCCAAGGAAGCTCCCCCCCGCCCTTGAAGCCTGAGCTCCTCTGCGTCGCGACCCCGCCGTAGTGGGTTGTCGCTTTACTAGTAGCAAGAATGCTCCTAGTAGTAAGGCCAGGAGCCCCTAGTAGCGTCCTTGCTCCTTGTAGAAATGCCCTTTACTCCTAGTAGCTTCTTGTTACTAGTAGCAAGAATGCTACTAGTACTAATGCCCTTTGTTACTAGTAGCGATGCCCTTTGCTACTAGTAGCGTCCTTTGCTCCTAGGGACAGGAGCCCAGACTAATGCGTCCAGTAGCCAGTACTACTTAAGCCTACTCCCTCATGCCTACTCCCTCAACTACTTCTAATATGTATGTATGTATGGATGGATGGATGGATGGATGGATAGATAGAGACAGATACAGATACAGATACAGATAGAGATAGAGATACAGATACAGATAGAGATACAGATAGAGATAGAGATAGAGGTAGATATAGATAGATGTGGATAGATATATATATATATAGATAGATAGAGATAGATAGAGACAGATAGAGATAGATATAGATAGGTATAGATAGATATAGATAGATATAGATAGATAGATAGGTTTTTGAGTTTGAGACGCTTGGCGGAGGTCCGTCGAATGCGGGGCATGGCAACAATGTCTTGACTGTTAGCTCCTCTCTAACAGAAGCTGATGCACCGGCATGCCTGTAAAGCTGCACACGGATTCAAAAAGAAAGAGGGCGGGCAAAAGCTACTGTAGCACCTGCACCTCTCAGCGAATCTAGAACAAGTGTTGCAGGAGCTCAAGACCAGGGGTCGGGAATCACTGCAAGACATGACGAAAAACAACAAGTCCGGCTGTACTAAGAAAGACCCGGCTCACCACGAAAATATAAGGTGGGACATTTACCAAGTAGAAGCAGTCATCAAAGGTAGGCCTCTCTCACTCAGCTGCACTGCAGAGCCCGGCGCACCTCTCACAGCTGCCAGCCAAGCGGCAGCACTTGCAAAGGCGCAGGCCATGCTCAGACAGCTATTGTTATCCAAGGCTCAGCAACAGAACAGCCCAGGCAACCGCCAGCTTCCCGCGGCAGCAGATGTCATAGATGATCTTGCAGCTGGAGCCACTAAGCAAGCCGAGTTGCCAAGCATCTCAACGAAGTCACCGAAGCAGCCGCCAGCAAATGCAGCAGCGCTATGCTTTTTTTGCTCCGTCTTTGGAGCTATCAAGCCAAGTTGCCCCACCATGCAGCAAGCCCCTTGGGTGGAGGACCCCAAGGTGCCAAACAGTGAGCTGCGGGGTCGAAGATCTTGTGTCATGAGGGTTGCACCGAGGGAGATGTTCAATGCAGCTTGACATAGATGGTGCAGTTGAAGTCGCGGCCCCAGCTTTGGCAAAATGCCACAGCTGGGGCATGGGAGTGAGCACAGATCATTGTTTGTCTGTCGATGGTGATCTTGCTGAACACATTCTGTAAGTTCTGGGTGCCTTGCAAGAACATGATCCGTTAGGGCCTCGCAGTCCAAGGTCAAGCGGCCACAGAGGCTACAATGTCCCTTGAGACGCTGGAGCCCCTCAGGCCGAAAGCCTTCCCAAGCCCGCCCCTCTTCCTCCACATGCATTGCAATACGGGCAGTAGTGTGATCAAGACCCAGCTGCCAGTATTTGGGGGTGATGAAGTCAGCCCAGTGAGGGGGTTCTTCATGGAACTCTGCTTCCTGCTGGTCATTGAAGAAGAACCAACCTCCAGCTGCTTTCCCTATGGCCTGGATGTGACCCGCCTCATCTGTGCCTCGGTGCGCAATGCCTCCTGCCACAACACAGGGAATTGCACAGGTGTAGAGCGCATCTTCTTCAAGTTCCCACTCCAGCTTTTGCACCCGGCCTGAGGAGTCAGCAAGGAATCTGTCAGTGTTTATGTTCATCAGTTTGCTATCGTGCGTGAAGGATGTGTTCGTACCAAGGTTATTGTCAATGAGTTCCTGCAAGTTGATAGTTTTTGACTTCATTTGTCACGTACACTGTGTGGGAGGCGTGTGGCGTGACCCCTCATCAGCCGTGTTTACAGCCTGGCCCACCTGGACCCGCCTCTTCCAGTGCAGGTTTGCGCACAAAGGTTGTGTCCAACTCAAGAAGGACCCCAAGAACTCCCCTGCATCTTGCTGGGCGTTTCCCCACGCCGCAAGAAAAGGCCGGAAGGTGTCAAGATTCTTCAGGCTAACCCATAAGCTCTCCTCATAGAAAAGCTGCGCAAAAAGAGAGAAAGCTTGCCCATACTCTAGGAGATGGTGATGGAATTCTGCTGATCTCACTGTGTTGCGCACTTTGATCAGCTGCGCTGCTGTTGAGTTCTCTTTGTTGATGTGAACCCACCATGCGCTCCTTCCGTGGGTCAACCACGGGCTCATGGGTGAGTTGCTGCCGTCCTTGTTCTCGGGTTTCAGGGACTGAATTGTGGGATGGACTCCCCCTCTATAGGCCAGTTCGACCATGTCGTCAATCAGGTTCAGCTCGCCTGCTCCGTGATCAGGCCTGAGTGGTAGATCTGGCTTCCATAGCCTTCTTCGTCCTGCGACTTCTTCATCAAGGTCGGGACGATTTCTGCCGGCGCGAATTGCAGGAAGAGCTTTTCTGTGGTCTGCGCCGGCTGGAGATAGTTTTCTTGTCTCTGCCAGCAATTGCGCAGCCTCAACGATTGGCTCTGAGGAGGAGGGCCCCTGCCGCGGTTCCGTGGCCCTTTTGGCTCTTTTGTGTGCTGGTTGATGATCTTCCTGGAGGAGTGTAGAAGGCAAGGTTCAGAGCCACAACAGATGAGCAATTCTGACTTCAAGCAGCAATTGCAGAAGAGATTCGGTGAGGTGTCGATATGAGCAAGCTGCGTACTGCACGCTGCATGCTGTGGTGATTCTGAATGTGCTCATGCATCTTGTCTGACTTCAATCGCGCCACAGACTCTTTTCTGAAGGGTCCTCGTATCACAGAATCCGCAATCGTAGCGCAGAATCTTTTCTGAAAAGCCCTCGTGGCACAGAATCCTTTCTTAAAGGCCCTCGTAACACAGAATCCTTCTCAAGGGTCCTCGTAGAACAGAATGCTTTCTCGAGGGCCCTCGTAGCACAGAATGGTGCCCTGCGACATTATAATTCCTTGGCGAACAGGCCCCTCTCGCGCAACATGGACGGCGACCCCTGCAAATCGCCGTCCGCCTTGCCGGGGGTCGCCGGCCGTGTTTCGAACAGCCGGCCGGCGACCCCTACAGGTTGTCGGGGCTTCATGGGGAGGTTTGAGGGTTGTCAATCTTGTCCATAGGTTTGGCCTCGGCTTTTCCGCGGGTGTCTGCGCTGGTCTTTGAAACCTCTCTGCAACAGCCACTGCCCGAGCCGACGGCCCGCGCCCCAAAACGCAAAGACCCAGAGCCAGAGAACCGCAGTTAACCCTTATTGAACTGAGGTAGCGCTCTGCGTCGGCGGCGTTTGCACACACTTTCGGTCTTTGAGTTTTTGGAGTCTCGTTCATTGATTTGGCCTTGATGGTTTGATCCCCCCGGGGTGTGTGCCAGCGTCCAACTGCGGGGGGCAACCTGCGGGGGCATTCGTATGGGCCGGGTCTGGGTGTTCTATTTCGTTTTATCGTGTCCAGAAGGCCCCACCAAGGAATGATCGAGACACCATAGCAGCGCTTCGATCTTTTGATTTGATTTGCCGTTCAATCACATTGGAACTTTGCACGTCAAAGGCCCAGAAGACACAACGAGGGCCAGACCAGACCCAGACCAGACCCAGACCCAGACCAGACCAGATCAGACCAGACCAGACCAACAGACCAGACAGACAGACGGACACACAGACAGACAGAGACAGGCAGGCAGACAGACAGAGACGAAGACAAGACAGAGACAGAGACAGAGACAGGGAGAGGTATATGGCGTGGGGTGCGACACCTTCACGGGCAAGATCGGCTGGCGGGCGGCGCGGGCCCGGGCAGGCGCGGCTGCGGTGACAGGGGTCAACTGAAAAGAGGCGCTGGCTGCCCTGGGCGCGCGCGAGGCGCCCAAATGCTGTCTTGCAGTTGTGGACCTATCTCGCTAACGAGCGCGAGTTCTACTTGTGAGCGATATGTCTGTCCATTGACTGGCTCCCAGCTTTGCAACCTTGTGCTTCTCGTTTTGTGTTTGTTCGTGAATGAGTTTGGTGCGGCCGCAGCGTTTGATAGCTTTTCGATCGCGGTGCAGGGCCCGCCGTTCTCGCATCTGGCGCAGTGGGGCGCTTCTTCTTGGGGCGACGATAGGTGCATAGGTGCAGCTATGGAAATGAAGGGAAGAAGGGGCGTGGAAAAAATGGCAAGGGGAGGCGGGCCATCCACGCCCCAGTAGAGGAGGACGCCGAAGCAGTTGCGGCGGAGTGCACAGGCTGCATCCTCTCCGGAAGGCTGTGAAGGAAAAGAAGATCAAGGACTTTGCTTTGCTGTCTCGCCGGAGCCTGAAGAAGATGGTGAGAAATCAGTCGCATCATTTGATGCGTCGCCCAGCAGTGGACCTCAGTGGGACTTTGAAGGCCGGGGCGGACGTCGGACCTGCAGCCTGTGGAGGTTCTTCAGGAGGAGGTGGAGGTGCAGAAAGCACTGGCTACTTTAACGCCCTGGACGCAAATGCCAC